AGTTCAGAGAGAAAGAAAAAGGACCGGTGGCAAACGAACTGCCTTGAGCACAATTTAATTTATTGCTGATTTATGCTGTTGCTGCTTTATTCCAGTTCCATGTCATTATACAGGTGCCTCCTCACTCGAGGAAATAACATTTTCATTAGGTTGACCTAAGCAAGCCGCATCAGTTATGGCCAGGCTGGCTTCTTCTTACTTCTTCTTACAATACATTATTTCCATAGGACTCCTTGATCTCCTTCATACCTTCTGGGCTTCAAACTGACACCCCAGGGCTGCGGGAAGGGCAGTTCCTGTGTGCTGAGTGTGAACTAAACGGGGGCTTTGTCAGTTCATACAGCTGCTGGTCATCAGAATATGCCAAACCATAAGCCATGCATTGATCTTCAAGGGGGTAGGGGGCAGGAGGAGGAGAAATATTTGATAAACAAAGACAGTAACAGAAAGTCTAAGGAATGGCAGGCATAGCTGAAAAATCCTTTCTGCATTTAAAAAATCCACAAAACCCTAAAAACCCAAAGAAGTAACTACATGTTTGAAAACATACATTTGCTATTTAAGTTGGCTTTCTAGTTTTGTTTCTATTTTTTTCCTGAAAAATATTTCTGTATGTATGGATATGTATATCATGGCTCTTTTCTGGCCTGCAATAGAGGTTTTGCAAATGACTTTTTTCTGTGCTTTTATACAGAGATTTCATGAGCACTTTATTTTTCTGGCTAGATGTCTCAAAGTTTAGAGTGCCTATATTTCATGAAAGTCACGACCTCTGTCTTTCTAAGCTGAAGAACTACTTAAGGTAACACAGCAAGTGGCCCTTAGACATAGCATAGGCTGGCCCTGCGCAGACCTTCACCTTCCAGTACAGCTCGTTTTTGACACCAGTGTGTTTGCCTTTGCCTTCATTCATGTGTAAGGAAGACAGATTACTACAGTCTTCAGGAATCCACCCCAAATATATCTTTCTCTCTTGGCCTAGGATGGAGTTTCTTACTCCTGGGAGGCTCTTACCTGTGGGATGTTTGCCGTTATGCCTGATGTGATGTGCTGTGAACATTTCAGGTGAAGATGCACCTGTACAGTGAGATAGATCTGAAAAAAAAAAAGGCATAGAAGTAACCAGACTTGTCCTAAACAAACCAGTCATCTGTTGCAAGCCTAGATCTTATTCTAGTCCCTTCCTCACACAGTATCTTTTTCTCCCAGCTCTAGCTGTCATGCCATAGTATCACAGAATGGTTTGGGTTGGAAGGGACCTTAAAGATCATCCAGTTCCCCCCCGCTGCCTTGGGCAGGGACACCTCCCATCAGACCAGGTTGCTCAAAGCTCCATCCAGCCTGGCCTTGGACACCTCCAGGGATGGGGCAACCACAGCTTCTCTGGGCAACCTAGGCCAGGCTCTCACCACCCTCACAGCAAAGAATTTCTTCTTAATATCTAGTCTAAATCTCCCCTCTTTCAGTTTAAAACCATTCACCCTCGTGCTGTGGCTCCCCTCCCTGATCCAGAGTCCCTTCCCATCTCTCCTGGAGCCCCTTTAGGGGCTGGAAGACTCTAAGGTCTTAGGCTCTTTTAGGCTCCAAGGTCTCCCTGGACACTTCTCTAGGCTGAACCCCTCCAGATCTCTCAGCCTGTCCTCACAGCAGAGCTGCTCCAGCCCTCTGAGCATCTTCATGGCCTCCTCTGGACTCTTTCTAACAGGTCCATGTCCTTCCTATGCTGAGGACTCCAGAGCTGGATGCAGTGCTTCAGGTGGGGTCTCACCAGAGCAAAGTATGTAACTACAAAGAAACTTAGGTTCCCATGTGTGGCAGGACTACCCCAGGTGACACGCAACCAGACAGATGCCATAGATATTTGTGAGAGTGGGGCACGCTGGTGTCACTGCTAGGGCTCTGGGGACACCTGTAGGATCCGATAGCCTTGAGTAGCCTCAGCTGGGACCCTCACCCACACCCCTGCCCAGGGGTCTGGGGTCTACACTGAAGCTCAGGCACAGGCCATGCCATTCCCATGGCTCCCTACTGTTCTGCACTGGGTAGGGACCCCAGACCTCACCCGTTACCTCAACTTGCCAAGAGCTGTCAGCAGAACCAGTTGGTGTCACCTACATGGGTGGCCTGGACCCATCAGCTCCTGTCGCCCTCAGCTGCTGGCTCCCTCCCCACCATGGAACGACCCCATTCCCTCTTCCAGGCGTTTCCTTACATTCCCTTTCTCAAGTGTACGAGACGGTTACAAATGCAGAAGAAACATTATTCCATTTCCCACTGGGAAGAGGGTTGACAAGACGTAAGTAACGATGCCTACTCCACGGACCCCGGTAGCTCATGTTTTTTAATTGCAATATATGCTAGACATGTTGAAGTGCTTATTTACATAACATTTCTTTGTTTTTCCCTCTCTCGAGATTCCATCTGCAAGTGCTAGCAGATGCGGAGACAGTATGGTAAGAAGGCTAGGCAGTCTGTTTTGTATAAAAACGATACGCTTGGGATGGCTCTCAAATGGTACGCTTGGGATAACCCGATTCAGCAGAGTGGTGTGCATGCTCTGTAAATCAAAATTAAAAGAACACAGCTAAGAGATATTTCTTTCTGGCAGATGCTTAATTTGTTTGGTCAATGATAGCCAATACATGTATACGAGAACAGTACTTCCATGTCAATATTATCGGGAAAAGCAAATGCTGGTGCTGAAAATTCTATAATATCCATACATCGCTGAAATGGAACTCCGCTGTTTTGGGTAATCAATTTACAGGATAGTTGCCCTGTTAACTAAATGGTCCTGGGGAGAAGAGGGGTCAAGAAAGCTGGTTGATTTTCCAAGGATCACCTTCTCCCTCGAGAAGGGAAAACTTGAGGGTAGGGGGGATCTTGTTGGTGTGTAAAAATACCTATTTTCAGGGGGCAGACAGAGGCAGACTCTTCTCAACAGTGCCCAGTGAAAGGACAAGAGGCACCAGGCACAGACTGGAACACAGGGAATTCCCTTTAAGCAAGAAAGCCAAAATCTCCTTTCAGATCTCTTTATTTACTTATTTCATTTATCTGATTAACTTAATGAGAGTAGATTTCCCTAACGAAATGGGTTTAGAGCCCATGCACCCTGTACATTGACAAAAAAAAAAAAAGAGTTGGTGACATCTCAAATACAATTTAAAATGCAAATGTAGTTGTTAAAGTGTCCTAGCCCATGCTGATCCCCAGGAGCCAGGTTTCTTAGCTCCCCTGTGTGCGTCAGTCTAATATTGTCATTACAAATTTTGTTGATGTATAGCTCCTACTTCCCTGTTTTCTGTATCTGTTTTTCTAAGTAGTTTGGTTGACCAGCTGGAAAAAAAGCCAATTTCAGAGAGTAACATAGTCCCTGGATGTATAATCTGGTGAGTGTCAAGTAGGAGTAGAGAGGTGATACCTGGCATTGGTGAGATACCTATTTCAATATTGCTAAGCTGGGGCTTTTGCAATTTCATTAAAAGGTATGTACAAAAGAGACTTTTTGGAAACCCGCTTTCCAGTGAGAGAGAAGGCAAAATGGGTTCACTGAAGTTTTTTCTGACAGAGGGCTAAAATAATGTTGTTTATGGGCTTTACGGAGAAAGATGTGATAATGAAGGATTAATTAGCACAGCAGATAAAATCAGAATGAGTTTTGGTGGCTGGCAGATGGAAGACAGATGCACTCAGGACAAAACATGAAGTCACCGGTGCCTGAGACAGCACATTTCTACATCACTCGATTCCTTCACCCAAAACCCTGCACGTAATGCAAAAAAGCCACTTGGGCAGAGCCTGGCTGTGTCTGCAGGAGCACAATGTGTGGTGCAAGAGCAACAGGCCACCAGAGTGGCCTATGTCTGTGCTGCCCGTGCTTTATTTGGACTTACTTTTCATGGTGCTATGGACTCTGTGCCCGTCAACAGCTGTGGTCCATCCGATGCACCCCTGGATGACGGGCTTTTGCTTCCCTTCCTGAGAAAGGCATTTATTTTGCATTTCTGGGCCCCTCCACAACGGAACCCGAGAGCAGGTGAGGGACCATCCACAGCTTCACAAGCGCGCTCCTCCTTCCTGCTAAAAAGTGATGAAAGGCTTGTTAATTTACTAGTAACTCTATTTTACAGGAAGTCCTATGGGTATACTCCACTATAAACTGAAGCGACAAGAAAGACTGGTTGCCTTTATGTAAAATAAAAGTTCCTCTGATAATTTATGTTATATATGAATGCGTGTAGTCTTAACTCATGTCCACACTTCAAATAACCCCCGTGAACCACAGGGAGCCAGCTGTGGCAACGCAGAGTGTGCATCACGGCAGGATTTTTGAGGTGTGGGTTGATGGTTTACCCATCAAAGGGGCTGATGGAAGCCGGCGGCCACCCAAACCCAGCTCCCACCACTGTCAAGATGTCACCGACTTGGTGCCTTTTCGGGACGCACCTCAAACTCCCTGACAAACGGTGAGGCGGCGGCGGCGGCAGGAGGCCGTGAGGTGAGCTCCGGTCAGGCGGGAAGCCCTGAGGCGAGCTCCCGTCAGGCCGGGGACCGTGAGGCGATCGCCCGTGAAGAGGGAACCCGTGAGGCGACCAGCCGTGAGGCGGGAAGCCTCGAGGCGAGCTCCCGTGAGGCGGGGGACCCTGAGGCGACCGCCCGTGAGGCGGGAAGCCCTGAGGCGAGCTCCCGTGAGGCTGGGGACCCTGAGGCGGGGGACACTGAGGCGACCGCCCGTGAGGCGACCAGCCGTGAGGCGGGAAGCCCTGAGGCGAGCTCCCGTGAGGCGGGGGACCCTGAGGCGAACGCCCGTGAGGCGAGAACCCGTGAGGCTGGGCACCGTGAGACTGGGGACGCTGAGGCGACCGCCCGTGAGTCGAGAACCCGTGAGGCGAGCGCCCGGGCCGGGCCGTGGCCCAGGGGCGGGGAGAGGAGGCGGGCAGGGAAGGCCGGGGCGTGCCGGGCCCTAGCGCCCGCCGGTGGGGAGGGAGGGCGGAGGAGGCGGGTCCCGGCAGCCGCACACGCCGCTCCCGCCGTGCTCGGCTTAAATAGGGCGGCGCCGGGGGGAGCCGCGCACTGTAGAGCCGTGGTCGTTGTTGCCGCCGGGAGGTGAGCGGGGTTTGGGGGGGTTGCTGCTGTCGCCGCCGCCCGGGGGATAAGGGACGAGGCGGCGGGCCCGGCCGCGCCGG